CGGGCAGCAGGGCCGCGGGCGGAGGCAAAATCAACACTGCACGAAAAAGGAAAACAGACGTGAGCCGCGCCAGCCCTCGCCACCTCCCGCCCGGGCTGCGCTCCCGCCCGCGCTCTCGCCGCCGCCGCCAGCACCGCTGCAGTGATTCCGCGTCTCCATCTAGCGAGGCTATTGTGTAGTGGGCGCTTGAGCATTTATTTATTCTCCCTGGAGGATGAGGACCCTCAACTCCTGGGGGCTTACTCCTTGTTTGCCCTACCCCCCCACCCCGAGTTTCTCCTGAGGCGGTGGGAAGCGGGCTAGGACTGACTTGGGGAGACCCCCTTTTGGGCGCTCCACGGGCTTTCCCAGTGCAGGGGCTGGAGGGTGCAGGTACCTCCCCTGCCCCGGGGCCGCGCGCCTGGTCCTTGTCTAGCCCTGGCCCCGACCTCTCCTCCAGCACTCGACTTGAAAGAAGTTGCCCGCAGCCCTGAGGAGGACCTCTCCTCCGCTGCTGCTTTCCCTCAGCCAACTGCACGCTTCTATTTGAGGCAAGATTATCAACAAGTCTGCTCTCCGGGAAGTAGCCAGGTTACATTTTTTTTTCAAACCAGCTGCTGCTGGCTTCACTGGAGGCATCTCGGGCCCTAAACACCCCGTGGAAGCACTTTGCAAGCGCTTGACTAATAGGGCGGCTTTCCAGAAGGCCCCCAAGGCCTGGACAATTCTATTTTTAGGTTGGGCCAGCCAACCAGGGGCTCAAGACACAGAGAGGAGAATCAGACACCATAGTTCATTCATTGAAGAAACATTTTCGGAGTACCTTTCCGCAGTGCCTGTCGGCAGCCTCAACTCACCCCAAATAAACACACAATCTAAGTAAAAACTATTTGCTTTGCAAACCTTGCTAGAGAAGGACATTGTATTTGCTAAAGTAGAAGGTCGGCAAAAAAGAGAGAAATCCTCAATGAGACGGGTTGACATACTTGCCTCAACAACGGGTCTCAAGCATGTTAAAGATTAGGAAGATGGCGCGGGCCTGGGTAACATCTGGGTCTGTTATAGGCAGGATTGCCATGAGTCGGAGCCTACTCGATGCAACTAACCACAAGCTCTGCCAATCAGTTTTCAGACAAACCTCGCTTTCACGACAGAGCACTCCTCCCAGGCTCTTCTCCACGGGAGCTCTGCAAGAGGCTGAGGGACAAAGTGAATGCACCCTGTCCCTTCCCTCCCAGAGCTCTGGGTCTGGTCAGGAGACAGGTGTTAAACTCAGCCGTTCCACTATGTGCTGACATCCCACTGTGCGTTGTGGTATAAAAAAAGAGCCTGCACCACAGTGGGACTCCCCAACCTTTTTGTTAGCAGCTGAGCACATTAACTGTTTGTGAATGTGCTTGGCTGCTAACTGAAAGGTTGGAGGTTCAAGTCCACCCAAGGGTGCCTCAGAAGAAAGGCCTGGTGATCTACTTCTAACGAATCAGCCATGGAAAACCCTATGGAGCAGTTCTACTCTGACACATATGGGGTTGCCATGAGTCATAGTTGGAATCCACTTGAAGGCAACTAGTTTTTACTGGAGTGGCAGGACAGAGGAACGGAGCATGGGGGGGGGGCGGGGTAAAGGTTTCCATAAAGAGGTGACCTACTAGGGTCGGGGAGCATTCAGGCTTTGGGAACCCCCAGGCAAAGATGTGGAAACATTTATTCATTCACTCATTCATTCATTCATTTCATACATAGTGTCTGTGAGCACCTACTAAAGGCCAGACAGAGCCCCCGGGGCTAGGTATAGAAGACTGGACAGTTGAATAGAACAATGGACAACTGTGTATAGGATATTGTCACTGCCCTTCAGGGCCCTACTGTTGGGGGAGGAAGGATGGGGAGAAAATGATTGGGGGGCTCCCTACATGACTTTCTCTCACCAAATAGTTTGAAGCAGAGGAATGAGGCACAAAACTGAGCCACTATTGTTCAGCTGAGGTCAAATTAACACTGGATATTTTAACACCTTTGCAGCTCAATGCCCACAATCACACAGCTGGCCACCTGGGACTCGAAGTACTGACCCTGACTCGAGGTTCAATATTTATGAACACCCTGCCCTTTTGTGTGTTGGAAAGCCTGCTTTATTCATTTGGTTTTCAGTATTTCTGTATTGGACCCAATCTGTGCACCTCCTGAGAGTCACCTGGCCTCATCCTTCTGTGTCCTCCTAACACCATGGATTATTGTAGCCTTCCTTAGGGTGAGGGCCAGGCTCTGTCCTGGCAGGACCCAGGGAGGCTCTGGCTCCTCTCGCCCCTTCTGGACTCAGATAGCACTCTGCATCTTGGCTCATGAGATCTACCTAGAGGGGCCAGGGAACTCTACGATGAAATACAGGAAGTTAAAACCTTGTAGGTGCAAATTTTGACCATGAAAGACAAGGCCTGGGAGTAGTCCAGCATATGGAGTGCAGAGGTTCCATTTGGCCCATCAGGAGATATCTAGCAGGTGTGACTGAGAAACTGGCAGTGTTTTCTTCTGAAGATGTGGCCAGGTCAATAATACACAACCTTGTATTTACTTCCCTCCTCTCCTGCTTCACTTCCCTTCCCCCTCATTTTAGGATTGCCTTCCTCAATAAATAACTGGTAAAAAAAAACATTGCCAGATGCTCTCTCTCCTAGGGAACCAGGGTTCAGACTATTTGGTACCACAAATGTGTCCCTAGAAAGCAGACCTTCAGGATGGAACTCTGGAACTAGAGTTCCCATATATGTGAAAGCAATAGGGACCCCATTGCTGGTGGTAAGCAAGGTCATACCCGGTGTACAGGGACATTACAACTACTAGAGCTTTAATCTGTGGCTAACTGGAAGAGCTGCAGGTGGCTGCTGCACTTGATCAGTATGGGAGAAATGATAATCATAAGATTTGTGGGGTTAGGTGGTTTCTTCTTACAATACTAAAGGTCCTACAAAAAGAAAATGATAAGCTCAGAGCAACTAATTGCCAACTTAAGGCATGCTATGTGAAAAGCTTTAAGAACACTCTCATCTCTCAATATCCACACGACAGACTATACTGAAAATCGGACCTAGGATCTGACTGTAAGTGTGGCAGAGCTGAAAAGAAGACTAAATGCACAGCCGCTCAGCTGTCATGTGTCCAAGTCAGGGCTCTGATAGAGAAAGAGTTGGACCCTCTGATCTAGAATAGAGATATTTGGGTGGATAAGCTTGAAAACCTTGCATCCCTAAATCTCCCTAAATCCCCTGGCTGGTAGAAGCAACTCGTTCTTCCTTGTCCGAATAGAACAGTTTTGTTTTGCCTGGAGACCAAGCAATGATGGTCATTGAGTCAGGTACATCACAAAAGGGTACTTATTCTCATGATGATAGCCTATAGTAAATGAGGTGGAGATGTCAAAACTTCTTTGGCACAATATTGAGAAAAGGATCAGAAGGCTCAGGACGTGTGGATAGTAGAATCATAAGGCCCAAGAACCCACTATCTAACTATGCTCCCCGGGATAATCCAGAGAACATTCCCTTCACTGAGGCACAAAGAAATGCACTGGTGAGGGAGGACTGGCATCTTTGAGAAGTTCAGTGGTCGCTATCCTCTGAAGGGGAGCATTGGTGATGGGAGATGGTGAGGAAATTGACTCCCCACTATCAATGGGAAAGAGCCCTGATGGCATTACTTGGTTAAATGCTTGGCTGCTAACTGCAAAGTTGGCGGTCCAAACTCATCAGCCTCTCTGCAGGAGAAAGACGTGGCAGTTTGCTTCCATAAAGATTACAGTCTTGGAAATCCTATGGGGCAGTTCTACTCTGTCCTATGGCGTCGCTATGAGTCATTGTTCAACTCGATGGCAGTGGGTTTGGTTTGGTTTAAGGATGAACTC